CACCTACGTTCAACACACACACAGACACACACGAAACCCCTTCAACACACACACCTCTTCCTGCTAGCCTCACACCTTTAACACGCACACACACACTCACGGCCCCTCCCCCCTCCAACACACACACACGTCTCTTCATACTAGCCTCACCCACCTCCAACACACACACGCACACTCACGAAACCCCTACAAAACCCACACACACATCTCTTCAAGCTAGCCTCCTCCAACACACACACACGCACACACTCATGAACCCCCCCCCCCCCAAAAAAAAAACAAAAACACACATACACCTCTTCAAGCTAGCCGCACCCCTCCACAACACTCCCATCTAGTTGTTTAGTATTGAAACAATCGAGTGTGCCAAAATATTCGAGTGGCAAGTCGTGTTACCGGAAGTGCGACAAGCAGACGGCTCTGTTCTGGCCAATTTTCCTCACGTTATCGACCAATTATAATTTTTTCAATTAATAAAAAACTTTCACCACAGAACCCGGATGGTAGGTGACGCGTTAACGCGACAATAAATATCACAGATGTGTTTTTCACACGCAGCTATGATTTTTTTTTTCACATTTGAAAAACCTTTTTCCGCATTTAGAATTGTTTAATTTAACATTTTATACATTCAATGATTTTAAATTCGTTTTCAACAACAACAAATTACCTACATTATCTCTTGAACTCGCCCCCCCCCCCCACCATCCCACCCTTCCACAACATAATAATTGTAACTGCAGGACGAATACCATTTTCCCAAATAAATTTTCCTCTTAAAATTCTCACCCGAAAGTTTTTTCCTAAAACTCTCTTCAATAAACATTTTTCAAAATGCTTCCCTAAATTCCTAAAACTTTTGTTACTAAACTTTTCCCGACGTTTTTCTCTGAAACATTTCTTTGGACACTTATCACAAAATTTTCCATAAAATTTACCTTATTACAGCTTTTTAAAAGTTTTCCACAAAGTCATCTCACTAAACTTTCCCAAATTTGTCCCTAAAAAATTCATTCCACTAAACTTTCACAAAGTTTTTAAAAAAAATTCATTTCACTAAACTTTCATAAAGTTTCACCCAAAAATTAAACCATAAACCTCTTCTCATGAAATTCTCCCCCCAATTTACATTTCTCCAGAAATGTCCGTCTGCCAATGTCACGTGATGGCTAGTGGTAGGGATCGATACTGGTGTAAACTAGAGATCAATGGACGAGTACGACTATTGATCTATATCGATATTTGCAGTTCTGGCACTTTATTTAGAATGACATTATTCGATCGTTAATTGAACAATGGCTGCAAGTGGAATGGTACAAGGGGGTGGTGTTAGGTAGGACATTCTCTACTTAGTGGAAGGGGTCGGTGTTAGGTAGGATAATCTCTACTTAGTGGAAGGGGTCGGTTTAGATAAGTCCATCTATACTTAGTGAAAGGGGTCTGGGTTATGTGTGACTATTGATACTTAGTGGAAGGGGTCGGGGTTATGTAGAACAATCTCTACTTAGTGGAAGGGGTCGGTGTTATGTAGGACAATCGGCAATTAATGGAAGGGGTCGTTGTTGGATTGTTCCATCTATTCCTAGAGGAAGGGACCGGTTGAAATAGGTCTATAGTTACTGAGTATAGCGGTGGGAAAACGGTGTCAACTGAAGAGGTTAAAGGTCATATCAGTGTACTGTAGATATAGCAGGTTATATTTACCAAAAAGTGTACCGTATATATAGATCTAGCAGGTAAATGCTACGTGAAAATTGCGATCATGATTTAACATAAAGAAAAAACTCTCGTGGCCAAAACTACACCACGTGTGACCAAAATAGTCAATTATCTCCCTTGTATGTCCGAGTGTTAGTGACTCAGAGAGCCCAAGGTCAATAACAAGTGACCTTGAGTACACTATATCCTCAATCAAGTCAATAACCCCGGGTCAGGTGGGTGGGATGAAACATGACAACAGGGAAATGGCGTCGTCCACTTGAAGATTGTTCTAGAAGATAACGATGTCCAGTTGATTACGTGAGCGGCTGCCGGTGACTACGTGACGTGACGTTGCACGTACGGTCACGTGACCGCATGTCAGTCATGTCAGCACTATGCTCAGACGTTTTTACTTTCCCCAACGTGAGTCAGGTACCCTTCAAAGCTGGGTTGACTCAGGGACGTCCTACATTCCCGAGAACAGACCGAGATTCGAACTCGAGACCTTATGGTGACTAGCCTAGAAGACATCTTCATTAAAATAGCTTTGAAAATTGGAAATATCTTCAAGTTTTTGTTCGAAAGATGATTAAACATATCGATAAGTGGTAATTTGAATGGCGTATTTCATTATAAATGTAATTGACAAATTACTTTTTAAAATTTGCAATATTGGCTATTCATCACCAATGCAGGCTGCTTTTAAAACTTGAAATTAATTTATCCCAGCCTATTACGATATATCCTGGTGAGATACGATTAAAATGCAGTATAAACTAAGTGGCGTTGCTATGGAAACAGCAATGGACGGAGTTGATAGAGTGATACCCTTTGGAATATTTTTGTGTGGGGGGGGGGGGGGGGGGTCGGTGGGTGAATATTTTGGTGGGAGGATTATGCCATGGTCGCCTAACTCAGATGTAAGTCAAATCATAGGGTTTAACATCGGTTATAACATTAGGTTTAACATATTTAACATCTTTAACACCTGATTTAACATCAGGTTTAACATTGTGCATACCAATAGGTTTAACATCGGGTACAACATGAGGCTTAACATCATGTGAAATACGATCATTTGAAGACGTAGAGCATGCACTTGAAGCCATTGATAGACAATTTCTATGAAATTATTCAGGCCTTATGTCAATGCTCCTTCATTGAAATATGTTTGAAATAAAGTAAGACGCGGTTTTTTTTGTGTAGCTTTCGGTGTGTTTGGGTTTTAGACTTCCCTGAGGTTACGTCAATAGGAAAACGTCAGGCTTGTTAATTAGAATCGGGTCTAACTTCCTAGTAGATGGGTAGTGGGAGGGGGGGGGGGGTTCAACTCAGACTGTCGTTATACGGCCTATAACATAAGTGGGCGGATACTAACATAACAGATAGGTACTAGCATAGGCGGTGCTAGTTCCACAATGTGGGTCGGCGTGGTTGGGTAGGTAACATCCTAAACGTCCCGAGTTCGAACCTCCGGACAGCAACCCATCTAGGAGAGACAACTCCCAAATCAAACAACTGCCGCCTTGTAGTGTGTTCTTGGCTTCACATTTTGACACGTAATACTTAATTGTGCTGGAGGGAATCCCGTCCAACATTACAATTAAGAACAAAGAACAATACTAAGAAAGACAGCTAACCCCCCCCCCCCACTACACCCCTCCCCCCCCCCCTTCCACACACACACACACACAAACAGCCCAATTGAAAGGCAATTCAGCCTATGATATAAAGCAAACCTATTAGATTCCTAGATTCACATCACTGTGGTATATGCTTAAAAGTCGGGACAAGTTCAACTATTATAATGTTACAATTCTATGGAACATGATTGTTGGGTGTGGGTGGAATCGGCGGTTTAAGGGAGGGGGGGGGGGGTAATTGGTGCTACTAAAATTTATAGGGCAAAGATTACAGCCAAATCAGGATTTGCGTTTTAGGAAAAAGTTTGGAGCGAATTCACGCAATTCATGAAGCTGTAAGGCGAATAATACAATGTCAGATGTATTTAATTCAGAGCTATGATTTATGTATTTAACTCAGAGGTGAAGAACTACTTGATGTATTTAACTTAAGGATGTTATGATGTCAGATGATGTTAACTCCAGCTATATGGTGTAACATCATGCGTCTCTTAGTATATGTACAATAAAACTACTTCACCTGTATACTAAAGATCCTGATAAAGGGTGGGGGTACATAGAAGTGGTCACTCAATTTTGGCAGATGCTGTCCACTAGTATCCACCCACCCTCACCCCACACTCTACGAATGACGTACCATGATGCAGACACCCGGACTAATAAGTTCGTAATCCCAACCAACTCTAGCATCTAACACACTATTCATCGTGTTGTTGTTATTTAAAATAATAGTCAATAAAAATAAGATAATATTTTACAGTTCTACAACTTTTAAACCTGTAAGTAAAATTATATGGAATAAACTTTATGTTAGGATGTCATCACATCGTCATGGTTGATTACTTTAAAAGGGTCGTGACGACGTGTTACGTAACACTATGTGTCAATGTAGGTCCCGCAGGTACATGGCCTACATTCACTGCCAGGTAAGTGAGAGATCGTCAGGGTACAGGTAGATTTTAACATCCGGGTCCTAGATGCCTCATGACATATTCAATAAGTATGGCCAGGTATCCAAGAATAGAGTAACGTCAAATCAATAGATGGTTGGGGGGTGGGGGAGGTCTAATTACCTAGGATTGTGCTTTGTTTTCTTTCTCATAATCGTAGTCCGGTTCTACCTCTCATTCTACCTCACATCCTATTACACACACACACACACTATATATATATATATATATATATATATATATATATATATATATATATATATATATATATATATATATATATATATATATATATATATATTTATTTATTTATTTATTTATTTATATTTATAAATATATATGTTAAATGTGTATATATGAAAGTTAATTTAGACCAGCCCTCCCCAAACCCATTCATTTTATCATTGGCTGTACCCTCTTGTTTAAAAGCTACTTAAGGAATGTTAATGAACTAATTAGAAAAACACCATAGCCCGACCATTAGACACATATTTAAACGCTGGACAAAGTGCACGGGGCTAGTGCAGGTGTAAAAACACAATGAGAGCTTTTCTGTGTTGACACCGGCGCGGGATGAACCAACGTGCGCGCGCCGTCTCACCAGGCATGCGCACACACGGTTGGTTACTGTGACAAACACGTGCTTCGTGTAACAAACAAACAGAAAACGCAAACAGAGAAAGAAAAAAAAAAAAAAAATTTTTACCGGATCTTGGGTTTGAACCCAGAAAGTAGCGATGCCGGCTCGGACACGGTTTTTAAATCCCCGGACCGTTCCTTTGGCGCTGATGATCTGCCGCTCGTGCACGGAGCTCGGGTCGCGGATGTCTCGTCGGCCGGCAAACAGGGACTCTCCGATAGGGGGCGCTTTAGGGATGATGTTGTACGTGTGGTGCGAGTTTGTTTTATGCCTTAGGTCCGCGACTTCCGGTGCGTGTTGATCATGACCATTGACCGTCAAGTCTTTGCCCGGGGGGTGAGTTGAACCATTATGACCTTGAACTTGTGGCCCTGAACTTTTGTTGACATTTTTTGTCGTTATGGAACCGTCTGTATCTTTTCCCGAATGTGAATAACTTGCGTGTGTGTGTATAGTCGATTTCATGTCAGGTATCGATATTTCCGATAATCGAGTACGTATTTCTTTATCGGAATGCTCCCCCACGTTGCCGTTTGGCAGTGAAGCGGGTCTCTGTAGGACGGAAGGGGCGCCATTTTGTTTGACAGTCGTCTGCTGGCTTGGAGTGTCATGGCGGCTCACAGAATGCCTGTTTCCGGTGGCGCTGCCGGCGATGAATATCGAGGTGGTGTAGCTGCCGCGCTTGGCTTCCGGTGGGCTGGACGGATGTGACGTCATCGGGCTGGAACCACTTCCGGGTTCGGGTTTAGAGTCACCGTGACCTTTGATGGCTTGGTTGAGCACTTGCTCCGTCTGTATGTGGCGCTCTCGCATGGTGTTTGGTGGAGCCTTAGGTCGAAACATCAGGTTCCACCTGTAAAACAAACATGTATCAAATCGTTACTCAACAAACACAAAAAGTACTTCCATCTAGACTGAAAGTAAACCATGCGTCTAAACATGATTTCCGTTCATTAACTTGCTTCCTCTGTCGTCAGTCTGTCTAGATCGAAACGCTCGAGCGAAATTTCGGGCACATCTAACTGACAGATTCGTTGGTCAAGACATGAAGACAATGCAATGAGCACATTAAATTTGACTTGATTGGATGCCTAATTAATTTTTTATCAATCAATTAAATTTTTTATGATGTTATCTGTACTTGAATTATTAAATTATACGTCATTTCTGTGTTGTCCGTATATTTTTACTGAGCTTAAGAATTGTTCACTAAATTCATTATTTTCTGAGCTAAAGAACTGTTAACTAAAGTCAACTAGTATTCTCTGAGCTAAAGCATTGGTCATTGAGCTATGGATTCATCAATCGACTTCATAGCCCCCACCCCCGTCCCAACACCTCCGTCTTTAAGAGAAAAAAAAAGTCGTCACATTAAACAAAGTGTGTGTGGGGGGGGGGGGGGGTGGGAAGGACATGACCAGATGGATGGAGTACGAACTAGCTAGAGGCCCGCTATCAGCAGACGACTTTAGGGTCACGCTAGTGGGCAGACGTGGGGCAGGGAAAGGTAAGGCAGACGGTCAGGCTAACTTTTGGCTGGACTGGACGGAGGGCGGGGTCAGTGGGTGCTAAAAGGATTAAACTGGGGGGGGGGTCGGAACGGAGAGTGAACTTGTTTTATAAAGATGAAATTTTTTTTTTGTGTAAAATATTTAGAAAACAAGGGTAATTAGACGAGTATGAATACAATTTAAAGTCATTGCGTCACTCTATAATGAGCTAGCTGAAAAAATAAGTTTATTAAAGTGTTCTCCGTGTACGATATCTGTGTCGGTGATGGGACATGGTGTCAGTGATTTGAATTATTGTCAGTGACATTAGGATGTGTCAGTGACAATAGGATGTGTCAGTGACATTAAGTGGTGCCAGTGACATTAAGTGGTGCCAGTAATCTGACGTGTATGATTTGTCATGGGTTTGTTTTATTTCTGTTTTTCGGTAGTAGGCCTTGTGGGTGGACGAGGTGACGAGGTAGGGGGGGGGGGCGTGATTGGAGGAGGTAGACGTGATGCGCTTATGTGGACGTGAAAGGGGGAATTGGTGGGCGTGATTGGGGTGGGGGAGGGCTAGAGATATGGGTGGGTCGTGATTGGGGGGGGGGGGGGGGTAGACGTGATGCGCTTATGTGGACGTGATTGGGGCTGGATATGATTTGATAGGGGGGGGGGGGGGGCGAGCGTGAGTAGTAAATCCATGCATGCACGTGAGACGCAGACACAGGGGCCAGACTGTCGGTCGGGATGTGCTGTCTGTCTGTCGTATGACATGCTGGACGTCGTGCCGTATGACAGACAGCGGCAGACTTTGAGCTCCAGTACTCTCCCTTGTCTTAATCTGTAGTGTATAAAATTTGTGTGTACGTGTGTTGGTGTTAGGTGGGCGGGGGAGTGAGGTGGAGATCCGTGCTATAGCACATATTCAATACATCATTTATATTTTATATAGTTGAGATAGGACGCGTGTTTGGGGGAGGGGAGGTTTTGTGACGACATGTGACAATAAATTGGAATAGGCGGGATGTGTGTGTGGGGGGACGGGGGGGACTGAAATAGCGTGATCATTTTAGTACTACAAGTCTAGAAGAGGAAAACAGCCAAGTGAATTCTCGCTTTGGGTGGGGGGGGGGGGGCTGAAAACAATATAGACAAAACAAGTAAAAATCCATTTCCCATTGTTGTTTTCAGGTTTACAAACCAAAATCCATTTTCTAATTGTTGTATTTAGTTTCAGAAGTAAAAAAAAAACCATTTCCCATGTATGAAGTCTGACCAACATAACGAACGAGTTTCGAAAACGTGACTTTGACTCGGCACGTAATAAATGGCCTAGCTTTGTTTCATCATCACGCTAATTAGCGACTAATTAGAAACCTGTAATTTTTTTTAATGCTAAGATAGACAGAGTTAATGAGATTTGTTTTTGTAAATATTAGATGGGCCTAAAAAAACACGACTGCTTCAAACAAATAAAACAGGTAGTTGCTATGATTATGTGAGTAATGAACATTGTGTATACATGAGGCATGCGGTGTTGCATAGACTGAATGGACAAACGGGTAACAAGCCCTCTCCCCCAAAAGATGAAGTAGAGTTCATCTGTTTCTAACTTCTCTGCATATGATCAGATTTGTGTGGTCAACTCGATACCCAAAACGCCCAATGTTTTTGAACAGTCGGGAACTAAATAGAGCTGGGTGGACTCAGGACAGGTACGAAATACAGTTGGGCGGACAAGTCAGGTACTAGATAGAGCTGGGTGGACACAAGTCAGATACTAGATACAGCTGGATGGACACGTCAGGTACTAAATAGAGCTGGGTGGACTCAAGTTGAGTACCAATAAAAGCTGAGTGAACTCCAACCTGCCTCTAGCACTACTAGTGCCGAACCAAAAGCTCACATGTTAGCAATGGTGTGCGCTAAGTAAATACATCGTTAATGAAAGACTGGAATGAGAATAGAAGCGAGCGATTGAATGACAATACGATGGATGTTTTTACACTCAATTTTAATGGATCTGATATTTGAGCTGGTAGGCTGGTTATGAAATGTAAATTACGGGCGTTACCATGACAACACTAGTGTTTAATACATGAATATAAGAAATTTGCTGATTCAGGGAAAGATGATGGTTAAAACATTTGTTATATGGACATGCTATGAGAGTTATGTGTGGAGTACTTTGAATGTGTGGATAGGTGCGTGTGGGTTGATGTGTGGGTTAATGTGTGTGTGAGTTGGTCTATGAGAGTACTTGGTCTGTGTGGGTTCTTGGTATGTGAGGGTTGGTGTGTGTAGGTTGGTGTATGTGGTTTAGTGTGTGTGGGTTGGTGTGTGTGGGTAGGTCTGTGTGGCTTCTTGGGCTGTGTTGGTTGGTGTATGTGGGTTTATGTGTGTGTGGGGGGGTAGGTGTGTGTGGGTTGGTGTGTACTTGTTCAGTGTGGGTTTCTCTGTGTGGGTTGGTCTGTGCGGATTGGTCTGTGCGGGTTGGTCTGTGTGGCACTTGGTGTGTGTGAGTTGGTGTGTGTGGGTTGGTCTGTGTGGGTTCTATGAATTTTATGTGGGTACTTGTTCTGTAAAACATGTGTGGGCACGTGTTCTGTAAAACATGTGTGGGCACTTGTTCTGTAAAACATGTATGGGTACTTGTTCTGTAAAACATGTGTGGGTACTTGTTCTGTAAAACATGTGTGGGCACTTGTTCTGTAAAACATGTGTGGGCACTTGTTCTGTAAAACATGTATGGGTACTTGTTCTGTAAAACATGTGTGGGCACTTGTTCTGTAAAACATGTGTGGGCACTTGTTCTGTAAAACATGTGTGGGCACTTGTTCTGTAAAACATGTATGGGTACTTGTTCTGTAAAACATGTGTGGGCACGTGTTCTGTAAAACATGTGTGGGCACTTGTTCTGTAAAACATGTATGGGTACTTGTTCTGTAAAACATGTGTGGGTACTTGTTCTGTAAAACATGTGTGGGCACTTGTTCTGTAAAACATGTGTGGGCACTTGTTCTGTAAAACATGTATGGGTACTTGTTCTGTAAAACATGTGTGGGCACTTGTTCTGTAAAACATGTGTGGGCACTTGTTCTGTAAAACATGTGTGGGCACTTGTTCTGTAAAACATGTATGGGTACTTGTTCTGTAAAACATGTATAGGCACTTGTTCTATGATTTCTGTATGAGACAATTGTTCAGTGAGTCCTAGAGACTGACTTTCGTATATTCGGGAATTCTAAAGCCTTTTTCTCATGACAATAACAACAACATACTAGACAATCATACAACTAGCACATACATAACAAACACTGGACGTGACAAGAACAACATACTAGACAATCATACAACTAGCACATACATAACAAACACTGGACGTGACAAGAACAACATACTAGACAATCATACAACTAGCACATACATAACAAACACTGGACGTGACAAGAACAACATACTAGACAATCATACAACTAGCACATACATAACAAACACTGGACGTGACAAGAACAACATACTAGACAATCATACAACTAGCACATACATAACAAACACTGGACGTGACAAGAACAACATACTAGACAATCATACAACTAGCACATACATAACAAACTCCTAGACAGCAAAACAAAACACAACAGCATCAACTAACATGTACACAACACGACTACAACCTAATCACAACATAATCACAACTCTAATGAATTCAATCAACACTTAATCAAACACATAATCCACACTTAATCAAACAGCTTACAGCTACATCCGTACAACCACAGCTGGTACCAGCTACCACCCCACCTGCACCATCTACCACTCACCATCTACACCACCATTCAACACACCGACGGCAGCTGTACCATACATCAACCTGCCGCGTCAATATTTGCCTCAGTGCTCACCTACATCCCATAATTGTTGCTTATCGATGTTGGCACGACGCTTATGGGACTACCACATAAGAAAGTTCGGATCGAATTCTGATTACACACAACATACACGCACATACAAGGACGCGTACGTGCTTGTATCACCCAACATACCAAATGCAACACACACATACATTTACATACATATTCATGTAACAGATTTTTTCTTCTAAAATCTTAGATGTGATGCAGGATTACGGATAAAGTTATGGTTAGATTAGGATATAGGACCGTTTTTCTTAAGATTGTCACATTTTCAAACGAAATATCAAATTTGTTTACAGTTTATAAATTCTGATACAATATAACATCTTTGTTTTCAAAATTGTCAAATTAATATTTTTAAAAGTAGTTTACTTTTTATTAAAAAAAAATATTAACTTATCAAAAATTATAAACAAACAAGCATTTGTATTCAATTTTTGTAACTAAATTCGTGTTTTCTAAATACCAAAAAAAAATCGTGTTTCAAAACTTACCTAAACACCGCTTAAAGAATTCATCTACTTGAATAACACAAAAAAAAACCAAACAACAATCAGCGAGAAAACAGATGATTGCGTGGATCCGAATTGTGGCCAGATTTATCGCCTATCCAAGCTGGCAAGTTGCGAGCTGCTATCTACTGTTGACACTGCGAGATGCGCGACTGGGGGGAAAAAACTGGCCTCCCGGTAGCGAGATCGGGGCGTTGTCTCGCCGCTTCCCCCGTCAGGCCCAGCTCCGCCGTCGTCCGTCAGCCGAGGATCGAACGAGGGGAGAGCGACACGGCGAGCTACGTCACAAAACAATGGCGGACAGGTGGACGCATTTCACCTGTTTACCTGTGCCTGTTACGTCATGAAGTTTTTTTTTTTTTTTTTTTTTTTTTTTTTTTTAACTTTTGTATCTGGTGGCATTTAATATCGGGAACCGATTCTGTTTTTATCAATTTTTTCCTCCTTGATTGAAATTTAAAACTTCAGTTCGGTTTTTTTAATTATTTTTTTTTATTTTTATAATTAACTTTTTTTTTTTTTAAATCGCAATTCAGAATGAAAAAATAAGGGAGGTAACAGTTTTATTCCTAACCAACTCAATAGTAATAAATGCTGCTCTCCCTTTTTACTTTCTCGTATATACGTAGTATAGAGAAAGTATTGTAATCGTGCAAAAAAAAAAATCGAGATTTTTACAAATCTCGACGTTTTACACCTCACTGATACGGAAAAACATAATTTTGCAATCTTGTCCGTATGTCTGTGTGTGTGTGTGTCTGTCCGTGTGTGTGTCTGTGTGTAAACACGATAACTTGAGTACCGTTACAGCTAGGTTGATGAAATTTCATATATAAGTATTTTATCAAAATCGTAGATCCGTATCAACTTTTGAGCGATTTCCGATAACCGGAAGTGGTACTTTTCCTACTTTGAATTTTTCAAAAGCCTATAACTTGAGTACTATTTCAGATAGATAAATGAAATTTCACATGTAAGTAAAAGATCTAATTCTCTACCTTCTGTTAAATTTTGAGTAATTTCCGTTGACTGGAAGTAGTAATTTACGCTACTTCCGATTTCTCAAAAAACTAATGTAAATTTTTAAAGTACTAATAATATTGCGCACTATTATACGCGTTTTTATTCGGCGTTTGCTTGGTGCGCAATGTTTTTTTTATGAGATTCTATTCTATTTTTAAAAGTTTAAGTATTTACAATGGATTAAAAATCATAACTATATCCCCAGTTACCATCCCCTGTTGTTTTATATAAGAATATTCGAGAAAGTTTAGGGGAGATCACTACCGGTTTATTGATTTCGTTATCATATTAAACCAGCATAAAATAAAATGTAACGAGAAATTATTTTAACAAAATTATGACAGAGATTTTAGCACCTTGAATATATAGATGTATATCTCAGTTTCGCTTGACCAGATAGTGGCTATTTATATAAGCTCTGGTCAGTTTGAGTAGATAATGCAGTGATGTTATGTAATGGTGTGGTCAGTTAGAGTAGATAGCCCAGTGACGTCATGTAATGGTGTGGTCAGTTAGAGTAGATAGTGCAATGACGTCATGTAATGGTGTGGTCAGTTAGAGTAGATAGTGTAGTGACGTCATTTATTGGTGTGGTCAGTTAGAGCAGATAGTCCAGTGACGTCATGTAATGGTGTGGTCAGTTAGAGTTGATAGTGTAGTGACGTCATGTAATGGTGTGGTCAGTTAGAGTAAAGAGTGTAGTGACGTCATGTATTGGTGTGGTCAGTTAGAGTAGATAGTCCAGTGACGTCATGTAATGGTGTGGTCAACTTGGGGTTCTAAAATCAACAACTCGAGAAAATCACGTAATCTTGCTCTGTAGAGCCCCTAGATAAAGTAATGCAGCAATTGAAAAAGATGACCCTATATTATTTAACAAAACAAAAAATAGAACACGAATTTTTTATTTTGATAACTATGACACTTGCTGATGCTGCTCAACGTAACATTCGTTTAATATTTTATACATATGTTTGGGGACGGCGTGGTCGGACGATAGAGTTCACACTGCTGAATCGAAAGTCTCGAGTTAGAAAACAAGAGGGTCGAGTCCGTAAGACGTACCTGAGTGTACCCAGCTCTGATGGGTACCTGACTCCCGTCAGGGTAAGTAAAAGCGGTTAGCCAGAATGCTGGTTATATATATATATATATATATATATATATATATATATATATATATATATATATATATATATATATATATATATATATATATATATATATATATATATATATATATGTAAGGTGGATTGCTGGTAAAGAATCGGCTTATATAATCTAACAACTTTCGTAATTTGTTATTTAATCTTTTTTTTTTAAATTCGCGACAATATACGATGTGCCGGCACCCAATTTGTTTGTGTTACATAGTGTTTGTAATTCCTACAGCGCAAATATCAAACATAAAGAAGCTGAATTTTTTCCCTAGTCTATTCAGTTATTGCCCTTGTTGCTTTGATATTTGATAAGCTATGGCAGCTATTTTTTAATCAATTGACCTTAATCTATCTGACGTTGTTGTCATACATTTAGCACAACTTATGTTCATCTATAAATACTTCTGTCGGGAATTCCCCTACGTTTTCTTGTGATAAGCGTCAAAGATGTATTTAAATGTTGTTTTTTTTTTTTTTTTTTTTTTTTTTTTTTTTTTATAAATTCACGCGACACGTACCAGCTGCAACTGGTTAGGCCGTGTTTTTTTTTCTTTTAATCAAAGCGGTACAACTCACAAGTTGAGTTATGGTTCATGAATTATCTTCAAAGATTTATTTAATGAAGTAACTGGATTTAAATAAATAAAATTAGTATTGACAATTATTCTGTATTAATTTGATATTTGTTTTGTAGCTAATAATGAGCAGTAATAGTGTTGTTTATGTGAGGAGTAGTTAGGGCTAGGGTTACGGTTAGGGTTACGGTTAGGGTTTCGGTTAGGGTTAGGGTTACGGTTACGGTTACGGTTACGGTTACGGTTACGGTTACGGTTGTGGTAAGTGTAAGGGTAAGGGTTAGGGTTAGGGTTAAGGTTATGGTTAGGGTTAGGGTTAGGGTTAGGGTTAGGGTTAGGGTTACGGGTAGGGTTAGGGTTACGGGTAGGGTTAGGGTTAGGGTTACGGGTAGGGTTAGGGTTAGGATTTGAATATTGGTTTGGTTTGGGTTTGGGTTTGGGCTAGGGCTAGTATTAGGGCTAGGGCTAGGATTTGAGCTAGGGTTATGGTAATGTTTAGGGTTAAACGAATGTCTAGGGATAGGGTTGGGTTTCGGTTTAGTTTTAGTTTTAGGCTTAGGTGAATGTTAAGGTTTATCTTTTGCTTAAGTTTAGGATTAAGGTAAGAGGTATAGAGTTGGAGTTAGGTTTGAAGTTTCTTATTGGGATTAGCTTTAATTATAGGCAGAGGCTCCCGGCGCCCGGGGACATACTTTCAATTTGGCGCCCCCCTCGGGAGCAAATTTTCGATTTGCACCCCCCCCCCCGAACTTTTCATTTGCACCCCCCACTCAAACTTTCGATTTGCACCCCCCCTCGAACTTTTCATTTGCACCCCCCCCCCCCGTCAAACTTTCAATTTGGCGCCCCCCCCCGTCAAACTTTCAATTTGGCGCCCCCCCTAAGGTCGACGCCCGGAGACATATGTGTCCCCCCCCCGCACCCCCCTCGCTACGCCTCTGATTATAGGGTTGAAATTTGGGGTTAGATTAGGATTATGAGTATTGATCTCATGGGGAGGGGGGGGGGTAATTACCCATGTAGGTATTTACAGGGGGATAATTGCTCGGGGGGGGGGGAGGGTCGGGGGGATGTCCTAGACCCCGATAATGTATACAATTTGATAGATCCACACCAAGCCGATGTCATACCCATGCTAACTTAATCCCTTATTCTTAGAAAGATTACAAACTTCGGGGAATTCACATTTTATTGCCGTTCATTATTATCTTTTCATCCCGAAACTGAACGTCCAGTAAGAAATACGACAAGGGTTATTTACTGATGCGTGAAGTTACACGTAGAAGCAGTGGTGATTTCCCTTGCGTTATGTTGTAACATGGGGGTTTGTGACTATAAAAGCTTCTTGGTGTATTTTGGTGTTTAATAACACAAACTGATACAGCTAGGTGCGAGACATAGCGACTATACTAAGAGCAATATTACAGCTTAATTAAAAGCTATACATAAACACTAGCTGCTGATCCTTAAAGTTAGACCACCGTCAATACAGCCGCAGAAAGAACAGCAAAAACAGCCTTAAGATGCCACGTGATTATACGTACTACGACGATGATGATTATGATTATTATGATGAAGATGATGAGAATTACGACACCGATGATGGTAGTGATGATGAGAGCTACGACGATGACACTCTAGACCTGCACGGTTGCTCTGTCGATGACGCCTTCACCAAACTAAAAGAATTTTTGTTTGTTAAGGAAAGAGGTAAGGAAATATTACTTTGTTGTTGTTTTTTTTTTTTTTTTTTTTTGCTTCAGTCTTTTCAGTAGGTTAGATCGTGGCTGCGTCAATACGACTCGGCTGTTGTTGTTTTGATTGATTTTTACATCGGGGGGGGGGGGGGCGTAGCTACATCTTGGTTTGTTTGTATTTACATTGGAGAGTGGAGGGTGAGGACAGAATCATACTCCCATCCACAAGCACACCACTCACACACACACATAATCACTCCGCTCTCATACACAATCACATGCCCACACACACAATCACACCCCACCCACAAAAATAATCATCCAGAATCAGACTCCTCCCATACATCCAATCACATACAATCACCCCCCCCCCCCCACACACACACACACACAATCAATCAATGTGTACGGTCGGTACGGCATTGAACTATACAATCGGTGCGATAACCACACACACCTTCCACAAACTATCACACCCCTCACACACAATCAGACTCCTCCCATACACTAAATCACACACACACCCTCACACACACAATCACCCCTCACACACAATCAGACTCCTCCCACACACTAAATCAAACACGCACACCCTCCCACACACACAATCACACCCCTCCCGCATATACAATCCCACATACACATATAAGTATGTCATGTGACTTCCAAAATCGTCTGCTTGTGCAGATTACGTCAACAGTGGCAGACGACGAGTTCACCGCTTCGTTGACGTCATCACCG